ATAGAATAGATAATAATATTTTGTTAATTGGACCTAATTTGAGGTCCCCCTGACGATTGTGGTCTTAACGTTTACGTCTTCCGTATTACCAATGACCAGAATGAAGTTCTCTGTGGATCCTTGTAGGGCTAAGCTGGTTTCAAAAGCACACTGGAGCTGGCTCGTGGGGAGGCTCACAGGTTGCAATGGGCGTTCTACAGCGCTCATTGCAAGAAGGAAACCATCGTCGAACGGCGTGAGGAAACTTTTTACGATATGCTCATGCATAATCTCTACTACAGTACTGCCGTTGAGATCGAAAATTCACGGGAAATATGCGAAACTCGTTAATTTACGGGAATTCGTTATACTCGTGATTCAAGATTGAGCTTACGAGAATCCGGAAGATGTCTTTTGCAATTCAGCTCGTCGGACACTATAGACATGTGCTTAGATATTTGGAAAAGCTCCATATAGGATGCGCATGTCATCGTTTTCATTTCGCAAAAGTAGTTAGCTCGAGTCGTGATGTGTAGTATATCCCGCTTATGCGGGGCTGAACCGCTACACACAGAGGAGGGCCTCAAAACTTAGCACCAGAAGCGCCGACGTACTCAAATCATCCACCACATTGATGACATTAGATGATGTTAATTTCCGAATTCTTGGACTGCTTCAGTTGCGTTTTTAAAGCGCTTACTGCCTTTACGTTTTCCTTGTGCTCTCACATATCCAGGGGCCTCTGTATTCAGTGGAACTTTGAACAGTCTCAGCAGGTGGGCTATTATGCTGACATTTGTCCATTTTCAGAGGAAATGATTTTGGCAGAAAGCAGCGAAGATGGAAACAATTTCCTTCACTGTGAGACTACGGTCACTTGTAAGGATTATATGGGAAACTTGGTCGAAGGAGCGTTTCTTGGTGTGTGACCCCAAACATAACCCTTGTCATGTCTTTTCCCCATATTAAGTGACAGTCCCATTTTTCAGAGGAGAATGTTTGTAGAAAGCTGAGAAGGAGGCGAAGAGTTCCTCCACTGTCGTAGATAATGGTCCTTGTCTGTAGGAAAAATAAGTGTTGGAACTCGGCCGCAAGTAAGCGTTCTTCGCTGTTGTGCCTAAACTGCCTCCTCGTCATGACCTGAATGCGAAAGTCAGATTTTGTTGCATTACAGGTGATTGCAAACATGAAATGTGCCGCCGTATGGCTTCCGTTGAAAATGTTATCGAACGAATTGCGATTAATGCCCCAGTTGAAGACATTGGTTTTTCACGTTTTCATCCTTCGCTTAGTGCTGGATTGGGCACTATCACCGATTACTGCCCGAAAATCTCAAAGTTTCATCTTTCGTCGAAACATTGCCTATTGGGTGATTCGATGCTGTTTACGAATATGAAATTCATTGTGTGCATGGCGGTCATTGGGGCCCTTTGGCCTTTTTGGCGCAATTTTGGCGGCGGCTCATTCCACCAAAATCAGCTGAAAAACGTGTGTAAAGGGGTTATTTGGCGGTCCATGATCACGATAGAATCCATTTGACCCGGCGCAATGTGGTGATGGCACAAAACAACACTTTCACAGTAGAGCGTACTCTCAGGCACCTTTCTCAGAAACGCCGACGTCAGAACCGTGGAAAAGTCATCGAATCCGGAGATTGAGATTTTCCCACGACAGGAAGGGAGACAGCAAGCTATGTTCAACGTTTGCGACACGAGAGATAAACGATGGCTCTTGCTACTCTTTAGCGGCACAATCGTCAATGAGAATCTACTTGGGCGTAGCCTTGAAGGACGTGTACGCAGACGCTCAAGTTGAATAATAATGCCACTTCGTGGGCGCGATCCTATGAGTTAAGGTCTGGTGCCACTATGCCCTTATCATTGTCACACGCATCAATAAGGCCTGATCAACGACGGACTGCCCACAACGGCCTGTCATTGCAATCGTCCGAGCGCGTGCGCACTGGACCGAATCGAACGAGGACACGGGTTTACGTGTCATGCCCGCAAAAGGATGTCTTTTCGAGACTGAAATTTCCTGAGTCCACGGTTTGTTCGCTCTCCCTATTTCGGCTGCGCGACACGGCGCTAAGGGAAGGGCAAAGGAATGACGAGCTCAACGTCGGGCCACACCAGTTCAATTCAGTGAGAGCGGTTTCTCGCGCGCGCGATGTGTGGGGCACCTTTAGGAGGAACCGTCGATCATCGGAAGGTTCGGGTGCAGATTGGAAATTGACGAAACACTGGTTATCAAACGCAAATACAACTGCCGACAGTTGCGCGTACGAGGCCACAAGTGGCATGTGGAGCATTGAAAGAGGAAGAGGACTCCTTTCGGATGGTTTCCGAAGGGAAGACGTTTAAAACCCTACTGCGGATCATTGATAGTAGTACATCAAGCCAGGTAACTACCATCGCTCAGTGACAGCTGGCGAGCTTAAATCGAATTGTGCTGGCCCAACAACATTACAGTGCAGCTCCAGTGAAAACGTGAAATTGCTTCTAACTATATCACAATTTTCCCGGTCTGCTCCTTCGTGGTCGGGGAAAGTCTCGATCGAGATGACCTTTCCCACGTCTGGCTCTTCTATAGTAGGAAGATTGATTTCGATGACCTTTTCCATGGGTCCTGACAGTCGGCAACTCGGGAGAAAGGTGCCCAAGAGTTCGCTCTGACTGTGAAGCTGTTGTTGTGACACCACATTGGCGCGCGCGTCAAGACTGGATGTTATATGGGTCGTGAGTAGGACCCCAAATAACCCCTATTACACACGTTTTTCAGGCTGATTTGTCGGAAACAGCGCGTTGGAGCGCAAATTGGCCCGCCAAAAGGAGCAAATGGCCGCCCAAATGACGCCAGCAGAAAAATGAATGTCATATTCGTAAACAGGGCCCATCGAATACACCCAGTACGCGAAGTTTCGACGAAAAATGAAACTTATGAAGATTTTGGGGGCAGTATCGTGCGGGCTAGTTGGCCAATCCAGCTACAGGGGAAGGCTGAAAACGGGTTGAAAAACCAAAGTATTTAGCTGGGGCAGTAATGCATTATCGATCTATAAGCATTATTCACGGGAAAAGCTAACGGAGCACATTTCATGTCTTGCAAGTTCACCTGTATGCAAAAAAGTCTGAACTTTCCACAAGTTCATGGACGAGAAGGCAATGTGGGTGGGGCCACAGCCACGGAAGAACACCAACTTGCGACCGTGAGTTTCACATAATTCTACATCTACAGACAAGGAAGCTGGAGTCTCGACGAGGGAAGGAAATCGCGCTTCCTTTCACAGCTTTCTACAAAACATTCTCAATGGGACTGTCACGTAATAGGGGGCAAATGGGGCATGACAAGCGGGTGATGTTTCGGGTCACACACGGAAGAAACGCTTCCCCGCGATCATGGTTTCCATATAGAATCCTTACAGACAATGTGACTAGTCTACGACAGGTGTAACATTTTCCTGAAAACGGAAAATGTCACATAATAGGCCCACTATTCCTGCTGAGAACGTGTTCAGCGATTCACTTGATATACAGGGATGGGATATTGAGAGCAGAGAGAAAACGTAAAAGCCAATAAGCGCTTAAAAAACCGAAAAGAAGGTCTAAAGAATTGCGTGGGGAAAATAACATGTCAGTGCGTAGATGGCCAGACCACAGACAGCGGCAGGAGTTCTTTTATCATGCGGGTGCTGTATATGATAGCCTACACTGTGTGCCAGTGGGGTAACGACGGCAATCTCTGTGGCTAAACAAACGACATGTACCCCTCTTGCGAATAAGAGAAGGCGAGACGTCGGTGCAGAACCAATATACTCAAGTAATGACGGCTCTGAAGTAAATCTGTGAGTAGTGGCCTCAGGAACTGATGGTTCTTTGGGTAATATAATAAAATGAGCATGTAGTTAGCGACGACTGAGAGCTACACAACATGTAACAAGTTATTCATTACACTGACAATAAATATCACACTTTGTAAGGCTACGGTGTATGGTCTGCCACCCGACGCTCTTCTCTTTTTTTTTTGAAAGGAGGATAGCATATGAGGATGGATACCAATCAATCAATTATCCAAACTGCTTCGGAAAGTGCGATAAGTCAAAAACGGTAATATCGTCAGCAATCGAAGTCTAGAGGCCAACGACCGTTGGTGTTTTTTCCAAAGGTAGAGTAAGTTGGCGGAGAGGGAATTAAGAACGACCCTATGGCTAGGCCAAGACGGAATTGGAATACGAATACCAGAATTTGGCTCCAAGTGATATATCATACGTTGAAATAACGATGAATTTATCGCGTAATAATCTGTAGTTATCGCATAGTCACATGAACCAGGCGTTAGGGAAAAACATTTGTGGGAGCAAAGATGCTATATATCTCTTCGCAGATAGACAAGCAGACAGTACTCTCAGCAATATTAAGAAGAAAAAGGTCAAGGAAAACTGAAAAAGAAAAAATGAAGGCCTGACGGGAAACGCCTGCGACAAGTGTAGCGGTTAACGGTCTAGGCTTCTTCAGCCGCGGTGCATGTGCATAAAAAAGAGAGGGCGTTTGAATTGCCTTAGTCCTTCTGTGAAGACGCTTGCCACGCATCTACTTGTTCTGGAACAATAGGCTGCATTCAGAATGCGGTATTGAGACTGACGGGACTCACAATGTGTCAAGTCGAGCGTTTTTACATCCAAAGAGCTCGTGTTAACAAGAATTATAGGGAGCTTCAATTGCCGAGACATGGGTGGGATCCGGACGTGAATGCGCGCGCGGCCAAGTTACGGAGAAAAAGCGAGTGCAGACACGCCACCATGCCGCGAAACCATCCACGCCCAGACAGATTACACGCATGAATGAATAAAGATGGGTTGAAAAAAGGTGTTCAGTGGGCCACCTCCTCAATTTTGAAATGGGTCCAATGACGCAGGGGCCGCAAAATATTTATGCATGCGAAATCTTGCTGATTAGGTTGAGTAACTCTGAAATGTCGCTTTTGATCAGAAGATGGATTTTAAGTAGTAAAAGCTATACCAAAGCTTAGTCAAACCTAAATTTATTTCGTTTAGTCGTCACGTGACTCATCCACTGGTTGGTTATTGCAGCAGAGCCTCAGTATCTTCGTCAGAACTCTATTCTTCTCGGCCTATTCTTGGTCATTCCCTTCTCCTTCAATGACAGTTTTTGGATGTAACAGAATAGATAGATAAAATATTCTGTTAAATGTGGACCTATTGAGGTTCCCCCTACTGATTGTGGTCTTCACGTTTACGTCTCCCTATTACCTGCAGAAATGAAGTTCTC